GGCGCCTGTGGTCCCAGCTACTTGGGAGGCTGAGGCAAGAGACTCGCTTGAGCCCAGGAGTTGGAGGTTGCTGTGAGCAATGAAGCCATGGTACTCTACCCAGGGGCTCAGCTTGAGGCTCTGTCTCAAAAAAAAAAGAATTCTGCAGCATTTTTATCAAGAGGGTTGGTCTTTCCTTTGTCTCTTAGTTGGGCAGGTTAAGTTCATGCCGGACAAGGTGACAGCTGCTGTTTCCATCTCAGGCTCTGCAGACACTGGTCTTCAGTTTCAGCAAGCTCAGTGTGCTTTTCTGCCTCTGCATTCAAAGTGATTGTACACTGCTTATCTCTCGGTTGTTGGTGGTATGGTTGTAAGGTTTTCCTCATGTGCAGAGGGTCCTTTATTGTTCACTCCAGACAGGACAGCCTTAGAGGGGTGGCAGTGACCCAGCAGAGGCTAGAAAAGCTATTAGTGTGATGGCGCCTGTGGCTCAGTGGGTAGGGCACTGGCCCCATATACCGAAGGTGGCGGGTTTGAACCTGGCCCTGGCCAAACTGCAACAAAAAAAATAGCCAGGTGTCATGGCAGGTGCCTGTAGTCCCAGCTACTCAGGAGGCTGAGGCAAGAGAATTGCCTAAGCCCAGGAGTTGGATGTTGCTGTAAGCTGTGACGCAACAGCACTCTACCAAGGGTGAAAAAGTGAGACTTTGTCTTTAAAAAAAAGAGAAAAGCTGACAGTGTATCCACCTCCTGAGATGCTGCTGATTCTCCTGGTGTTTTCCTGTGGGTGAATGCAGTGGTTCCCTGGACGAGTGTTAAGCAGTGCCGAGTGTGTTGATTACCTGCTGGCTTCTCATCCCTGCCGGAGCGTCACATGATAGTGCCCCATGTATGTGAGAGGTGTCCTCAGGGAGAGCATAGATTGTGAGGTCCCTGGTAAGTGCTGTCCTGCCTGGTTCTCCAGAGCTCAAGTTCTCTGCAGGCCTCAGAGCAGAGGTGGGCCAGAGGTGTTAAGGTGCTGTGGCATGGGTGAATGAATGCTGCTTCCTTTAGCTCCCAGCTTTGTCCCCTTGGCTGTCAGAGACAGGAGTAGGCCGTCTTCTCCCCTCGTGGGGCTGCTGCAGAGAAGGTGCTTCCAGAGCTTTGTTTGGGCTCTGAGGGTCCTTGCTAGAGGTCGCTGTGATGCTGAGAGAACAGCAGTGTGCTGGGATGGATGGGGGCTGCCTTCTAGTCTCAAACCTAGATCCATATCCAGTGGCCCACTGAGTGATTTGTCATCGGGCAGTCAATATTGGTGCCATGCCAACCCAATCTTTCAGAGCCCAAGGATTCTCAGTATTTCTGCCAATGTTTGCCTTCCCTTCAACTCTTGAGTGGCAGGTGATCTCTGTGAGCATCAGAGGCAGCTTCTGTAATCTTAGGCTGTAAGTCTGGTCATCATCCGGGATGCAGGTACTGGCCTCCCTTCTCAGCATGTCCTCTGCCCTTTTCTACCCTGCATTCGAAAGTGATCATGGGCTGCCCGTGCCCTGGTCATCGATAGTGCAGGGAAAGGAGTCGTTGAAAGCCTTTCCCCGTGTTTGGAGGGTCCACTCCTGTCCCTTCCAAACCCTGGCGCTTTCCCACACTTCCTCCTTCCTACCGCCTTCCAGTTGCCTCCTGTGCCTCGTGTGATTTTTTGAGTTGCTCTTTTCTCCGGCCCAGGGCAGGTTACTGTTAGACATGTGGGAGCACAGGCTCAGCCTACAGGAGTAGAAGAGCCGGGTGTGGAGCTGTGACAGGGCCACCTACCCCTTCCTCCTGGAAGCTTCTGCTCCGCACCTCTCCTTCCACACCCTCCGTCAGTGCCCTGAGCAGCAGGCAGACCCTGTGCAAGTCGTTGCTTGACTTGTCTCCTGACTGTCTTTGCCGTGATCTTGAGGGCTATGTCTGAATTTGTGCCTGGTTTTGTTCTGTCTGTCAATGGTCAGTGCTCCACAGTGTGTGACAGGTGAAAAACAAGAAAGGGAAGGCCCCTCCGATGTGGGGGGATAGGGCTCATTGCATTGTACAGTGTTGGGGGGCGGGGATACCGAGTAAGCAGCCTGTGCAGGGGTTAAGGGTGGGGGCAGACTGGGTGAGTTCCACCCCTTCAAAGAATTCTTCATCAAGTCACTGAGTCATGTAGGTCCTGGCCTTGTGTGGCCACTGGGGAAGGATTTTCCCTCCAGTCTGGGTATAAAGGTAAGGACCAGAGAAGAATGAAATTGGGGAATCTATGGGATCAGCCCTAACAGAGCCCTGCTGCTTCCCTAGGTCTGTGCCAGATGCAGCTAGGGGAACATGGTGCACTCCCCAGGGCACCATGGCCCCACTTGCTTTGAAGGAGCCCTCAGTAACACTTGGCATGACAGATAAAATGAATGTGCCGCTCCTGCCTTAGAAGTTCTCCAGCCCCTTCCCTAGAGGTAAGCTGCTTTTCTTGTTCCTAAAAACTGTCTTGTGACTATTCAGATGATAATAGTTAAGTCACCATGTATGTAACACTGGCCAGAGAGGCTTGGCGACAGGTGTCGTCACACAGGAGACTGGCAGAACACGGGGCCTGGGGTAAGGTTTCCGGTCCATTCTCTGGGCTTTTGACTTTTTGCACTCTCTAAAGTCATGCTCCCTTTCTCTGGTGGTTTGGGTAGTGACGTGGGGGGAGGTGAGGATGAAAAGAGAGGAATGTCCCATGGATTCCCAGATCCAGACTCTCCCCGGGGAAGCCTGGGTCACCTCTGGCTCCTTACGTGCCTTTAGGCGCTGCAAAGTAGGAGGCGCCTCTGGGGACTCAGGTGGGTCGAAAGCACTGGCGCTTTTCCTGTATTAGAGCAGCAGCAGCCACAGGTTATTAGGGAAATTAGGTGGGTTTGGTATTAGAGACACTGTATGTGGCCTGTAATTCTGCCTCTGCTACTGTCTGGTTCTGTGACCACTTTCTTTCTAGTTGTAATCACTGGTTAAGATTTATCATAGCAACCTAGCAAGGGTACACAGGTGACAGGTGATAAGGAGAAACAGACAAGTGTTAGGTCTGGAAGAATCCACGTGCAGCCTTTCTTATGCAGCCCCTTGGAGCCCACTCTTCCTCCAGCAATGAAAATGCATTCAACATAAGTTTCTGGTCTGGGGTGCCCAGGGTTTTTATTTGAGGTTGGTTGCATAGAGAGTGTATGCCTAGCATGTTCCAAATGCCAGGCATTCTGCCCAAACCACATTCTTTGCCAGAGAATGAGCATGAGCTCAGTGAACTGCTCTGATCAGTTATCTGCTCACTGGAATCAATGACAGCCCAGTCTCTAGACACCAGCCAAGAGCCTCTGACCTGCTGTGGGGAACAAAGCTTTGACAGAATGGCTTTTTATGGACATGACCATGTAGTCTTGATCATCAGCTCCTGGATTTTTTCAGTGTTCCCATGAGAAGTGTCTTCCCATTGATTCTTCATGGTTTGGGTTTTGTGGGGTTCTGCAGGGCAGACGGCAGCTGCTGGAGTCCTGTGCTGTTCCGCAGGCCCTGGCATCTGCCTCCTGTCCTTCCTGACTCTCCTGTCCTTTTCTGCACCTGCATCCGAAAGTGAGTGTGGTCTGCTTGTGTCCTGGTCATTGGTAGTGCAGGGAGAGGAAAGCTGAAAGGGTTTTCCCCGTGTTTGGAGGGTCCGCTCTGTTGCTTCCAAATCCTGGAGCTTTCACACACTCTGGTTTCTCCTGCCAGCCCTGGAGGATCTGGTGCTTTCTGGGCTGCCAGGAGAGTCAGTGCCAGGGAATGTCACATCTGGGTCTTTCTCTTGGCCTCCTGTTCCCGGGTGTCTATATGGAGGGGGTGTTGCCCAGCACAGACTCTGATACTGTGAGGGAAGTCTCAGGATTCTAGAGCACCAGGCCTGATCATGGGAGGGAGGTTGTGTTGAAGGAGTCAGAGTGAATTGCAGTGAATAGCACAGTTAGGGGTCAGCAGAATATTGGCACATACATGATTTTCAGAGAACAGCTGCCTAAAAGTGGTGTGGGGGGCAGGTCTCTGACGCACTTAAATAGCAGGGGTGATGAGGAGGGCATTTGCCAGGGAAGTTGGGACACCGTGAGGGAGACCTTGAGGCTGGAGTGAGCAGGGCAGGTGGGGGTGGCATTGTAAGTTTGGGACAAGATAGGGTAACATCTTTCTGTATCACTTGGCCTGAAATAGAGGGCCAAAAATGTTCGTAGGTAGGAGAAGAAAAGGAAAGTGCTCATTGCTACAAAGGGAGTACAGCTTGGTTTTGAGATAGAAAACTATTCCTTGCTTCCCACCCGAGAGCTTTCACTGCTCTCTTGGCCCTGTGAAGTGTGCCTTGATGTCCTCTGCCATTTGTCCTGGCCTTTGGGGTTCACCTTTGAATGACTTGTTCTCAGGCTGCCCCTGGAGGAATGTGTGAGGCGGTAAGATCAAGAGTGGAATGACAGAGGGAAGACCACAGAGAAGCCATTGATGCAGTCACCTTCTAGTCCCTCTCATCCTCCGTTGAGAGCTATTTTTTTATTCTCAAACATCTTGGGTAGTTGAATATGTTATATGAAGTGACATGTACAGCTTCTTGTATTGCAGGATTATCGGCTGGCCCCTGTCCCGTGTGTCTGGCTGGACCCCTTGATACTTATAAGGTATGAATCCTGGGTGTTTCTCTAGAGAGTGCACTGATGTTTAGCTGCAAGGCCAAAGGCCTCAAGGTCATGGGAGGGGAGACAAAGGCTGCTTCCCATTGCTTACTCCCCCATTGAGCCCACAGAGACAAAAGGAGCCCCTCTCTTTTGCACACTTCTCCCTTCAGAGTATGAAGCACAGCAGGTATGTACCTCGCTCCCCTGGGGTTTCAAGCATTCTGGGGAAGCCAGGCACCCTACATCCCATTGTGTATGGACAGTAGCTTGTTGAAGTGGGAATAGGGCTGTGTTTTGGAGCCTGACAATTAGCATGGTACTATCACACAATCCCAGACTTCCCAAACCATTGGATTTGCAATGTTTCCCCAAAAGTTGGTCTGCCCTCTTATTCTCTTAGCAGCGAAGCATTAATTAGAGCAGTGGTTCTCAAACTGATCCCTGAACCAAGCACTGTCAACTTAGCTGGGAACTTGTAAGAAGTAGAAATTCTTACATCTTACCCAGACCTGCTGAGTCAGACACCTGAAGTTTGAAAAGCATCATGTTAGACGATCTTTAAGAATCGGAGGCAGCTGCTGGAATTACAGGCTGCAGCTCTGGTCACTGACTCATCTCCTGGTCTCTTATCCCAGAGTGGCCCTTTTCTAAGCTGCTGGCAATGCCTTCCCTCCAAGTTCACTCTGCCCTTTTCTGCCCCTGCATTCGAAAGTGATCGTGGGTTGCCTGTGCCCTGGTCATTGATAGTGCAGGGAGAGGAATCACTGAAAGCCTTTCCCCGTGTTTGAAGGGTCCACACCTGTCCCTTCCAAACTCTGGAGCTTTCATACATGCCTTCTTACCAGCTTTCCTCCCTTCTCGTGCCTGACACTCTGGTTCATTGAGTGCCTTTTCTGAGCTGCACGGTGTGGGGTACTAGGAGGCTTACGGAAAGGGTGGTGAAACAGGGCCCTGCCTCAGGGAGTTGACATTTGTGGTCTAGTTTTAGAGCCACAGTAGCAGTCACCCTTCTCTTAGAGCTCCCCTGGAAGATTTTTCTGCTTCCTCATTCACCCCTTTCCATGTCCTCAGCCCCACCTCTCAGGAGTGGTTGTGAGAGTTGTTAGTTTATCACACTCCCTGTGCTGTGAGCTTGTTGAGGGCAGTGCCCCTTTCTTGATTCATATTATGCCTGGTACCTGATGTCTAGCACCTGGGCAAAAAGAAAACAAGAAGACATGTCATTGTATGGTGACAGGGCTCATTCCGTTGAGCAGTGTCAGAGTGGAGAATGCCCTTCAGCAAGCCAGCTATTTTAGTCCACCTTTAGTCCTGGCCATGGTTCCCCAGGGGAGGATTTTGTCTCTGCCTTAGATTAAGGTGGCAGGAGCTGGCATTCTTCCTTTCTTTCTTTCTTTGGGATGCCACGCCATTCCCTTGCTCCGTTTCTCTCCCCCATCTTCCCTTCTCTCACTTCCCTTTTTTTTTTTTTTTTTTTTTGAGACAGAGTCTCATTTTATCAGTAGAATGCCATGGCATTACAGCTCACAGCAACCTCCAACTCCTGGGCTTAGGCAATTCTTATGCCTCAGCCTCCCGAGTACCTGGGACTACAGGCGCCCACCACAACACCTGGTTATTTTTTTTTTTTGCAGTTTGGCCAGGGCCAGGTTCAAACCTGTCACCCTTGGTATGTGGGGCCGGTGCCCTACCTAGTGAGCTACAAGCACTGCCCCCTTTCTCTCTCTTCCTGCTTTCTTCTCGTCTCTTCTCCACATTCTCTTCCCCTTTCTCTAATATTAAATAAACTTATACTTTTATATTAAAACAAAATAAATAGTGGCAGGGACTAGAGTACTAATCAAAGTGAACAGACACCATGTAGTGGGACACATGAACACAGCCCTTACATGCTAGACGGTGGGCCTGGGGCCCTCCACCCCCTGTTACCTATCCCAGGTACCTGCTAGTTGCTGCTGGGCACAGGCCACTCCCCAAAACTCCCTGGCCTCAGCATCTTGGTTTCTTTGTTGTTGTTTTCAATAAATTGTAGTGTTAATATTTGAGGTTTGTAACATGATGTTTTGGGACGGTGGGTTACATATCATAAAATGGTTACTATAGTGAAACAGATTAATATACCCGTCTGTGACATAGTTACTTGTTTATTATGTGATGTGAGCAGCTAAAAGCTACTTAGTTAACAAAAATCCCTAATACAGTTTTATTAACTATGCCTTAGACTGTTTATCCTACATATCCGCTACTTTGTATCCCTAGACCTCCATCTCCCCACTCCTTTCCTGCCCCCATTTGTAACCACTATTTTTTCTTCTCTGTGTATATTGGACTTTTTTTTAACGTTCTGCACAATGTAACTAAGATTGTACAGTGCTTTTTCTTTCTGTGTCTGGCTTATTTCACACAGCATGGTGTCCTCCAGGTCCATCCATGTTGTGGTAAATGGCAGGATCTCTCTTATTTGTTCATTTATTTATATTATTTTTCTACTAGGTAAGTTTTTATCCCTTTATCCCTCAGCCCCCAGGGTCTCCTTTTTCTAAGGCTGAATGATATTTTCTTTATCCATTTGTTTACTGATGGGCGCTTAGGTTGTGTCCACTTCTTAGCTATTGTGAACATTGCCACAGTGATTGAGGAAGTGCAGGCATCTTTACAAGATTTCTTCTCCTTGGGATATATGTCTGGAAGAGGGAGTGCTGGATTTCAGCCCCTGTTTAACTTACACTGATAGGTAACACATTGATCTGCCTTGGCACATAGGAAGTCGTGGATGTATTCATGTCAGATGGTCTCTAGCCCCTTTCTAGTTAGATTTTTCTTGTTCCTGCAGCTGTAAAGCTATAAGGGTAACAGCGTTTGTGGGCTACTTATAATCTGCCAGCCCCCCCTTTCAGATGCGCTTTGTGTGTCTGTTGCAGGTGGGCATACTACGTGCACAGCCTCTGTGGGGTGTGTCCGGTTCATCACAGCAGGCCCCGTGGCGTGGGGCCCTGAGGTAGGATTTTTGGACTGTTCTCTGGAATCTTGTTTCTTTGTATCCTCTAAAGTCACTGGGGCTTGGCGAGGGGGAAGTGAGGGGGAAAGCAGCATCTTCTGTTCCCTATTGTGTCCTGTGGGCCAGTCCCATACGTGCCTTTAGTATGACGGAGGAGGGGCCTTCAGAGACTACATGGGTGAAGAGAGCTACTTCCTGAGTACTGGTGCATCAGCCCCATGCTGTGATGGGAGGTGTGTGGATACAGGCACCAGGGACTCTGGTCCCACCTTTGAACCTGTCTAGCTCTGTGACCTATTCTCAGAGCTGTTCCACCTGTTCCACTTCTTGATTTGACAGGCAAATCTGGATTAGCATTGGGCTTTGGTTTGGTTTGGTTTGGTTTTTTGGTGTGGTTATGACTACATGCTCCTGGCCTTTTCCAACATAAAAACATTTTTCTTTTTTTAATGCTAGAAGTGTCTTTTGACTGTGTCTTGGTAGGATATATTTGCAGCTGCTGGAGCTCTGTGTTCAGTTGGGCTATACTCCTTGACTTGAGCAATTCTCCAGACTCCTCCCCTTCCTGGCTCTCCCTCTGTCCTTTTCTGCTCCCTATTCCCAAAAGTGATCACGGGCTACCCATGATCAGTACCCATGGCCTGGGCACTGATAGTGCAGTGGAAAACTGGAAGAAGTATTCCCCATGTTTGGAGGTTCCAGCCGTCCCTCCCTGGTGCTTCCATATTTCGCCCTTTTTCCTGCCAGCCCGTTGGCCTTTGCAGGCCCCCATGTGGTATGGTGATTAGAAACATTTGGATCTCCTTGCTAAAAGCCCGTCTATGCATTTCTATTTGGACTCCACACTAGAATGAATTCAGATAGTGCTGAAGGGCACATGTGAGAATCGTAAATGATAGGTTCTACTTTATGAAATGTGAAATGTGTGCTGCCCGCGTCTCCAGGAGCCATCAGTGATTTTGAATAAACAGAAAGAAAAATAATGGTGAGGCCAGGATATACTCCTGTGGATTACTGCGTGGTCAGTTGCCCTGATTGTGAACTGCTTAAAAGAGTAGAT